TGTATTCTGCATTCTGAGTAGACATAGATTTTGTTTGCAAATATGATACTGTTGTTGTAAGAGGTGATTGCCTTACAGAGGCTGAGATGTAATTCCTGTCATTATATAATCATTAATTACATGATCAAGAAGATTAAGTTTTAAAATATAAAACATGTGTTATAATTACTGTAATAAAATTGATATTACTTTTTGTGATTTCATATTTACTTCATTTAATTGTAAAAAGAGGCCATTATAGTTGATGGCTTATGTAATAGCCAATAAAAATATCTTTGTCCTGTTAACTGATCCAGTATGACATAACTTTATTAATGTAATTATTATGTGATAGATTTTCATACAAGATTTTTGACACGATGATGTCTTACTACAAGATGATGACATTTGTGATAGAATAATCATCATTATTGAAGACTTGTCCTCTTTGTCATACTTTCATATGGCTAGAATGGTTTATAGTTTATTTTAAAGATATTTAAAAGCTGCACGCCTCCAGATGAGCCGAAATATTTCAAGAAAAATCAAATATGAAAAAAATGTACTAAAATTTTAAAGAAAGGTAAAAACATTTAAGATCCAAGTTTATATTTTTTCATGTTATGTGCGGTTAAAGACTGATTTTGCAGTATTTTATTACCATATATCTGCTGCGTTACTAACGCAGTAAGGGCTATTTTGCATATGTTGACGATTTTTTGGAAACTTTGTTGGATTGTAAGTGCCGATTGCAATATGTAAATTACTTTATTTGTTCATCTCACAATATTATACTTTTAAATACATTTCCAAAATTTTCAAGAAAATTAACATGAATCTGGAGGCGTGCTGCTTTAACATAGAGGAGTACGGGACTGTGTCACAGACTTAAAATCAACTTGACCTTCAACACTGTTAGTTCAAATCTCATCAGAAAAAAATTTGGAGTCTTTTCAAGTTAGGAAGTTGTCAGGAAAAGGTTGGTGGTTCTACTTGCGTACCTCAAAAAATGAATAATATCCTAAAGTATGTTCTTCCAAAAGTAGAGCTAGAAAGTATAAGCTTTATAATAGGCACATGCATGAATACAAATTATGGCATGTAGTGTACACAAGACATGTACCTGGTAGATCTAGGACCGATGCCATAAAGATTAGCCTTCTAACTATCAATGACTAATAAAGGCCCCAAAAAGTCTTGGAATTGGCCTTCATGTAATAGTTCAAATATAGATCAAAACTAGTCTGTTGATTAGTCTGCTGAAAGCTTTTTCCACCCATGTAGAGGCAGGTCTAATCTGCAGCATATAATTTTGTGCAGTTTGACCAGGTTTGAACATTGATACTGGTTAACAAACTATATTAATGATGTGCAGAGCACAGGCTTGACCTTTCTCATGTCAAGATCAAGGTTACACTTAAGTCATTTTGTATCAATATCAAAATTTTGTGTGCTGAACCAATAGAAAGAAATTTATTATTAGGCCTAATTATATTGAGACAGTGTGCAGAACACAATTTCAGGCTTCCTAAGATCGAAATTGGCCCCGCCTCAAGGGATTAATTGATTTACATGTATATAGACTTGTATAGGAGTTTTCATGTCCAGTCTCTGTATGTTTTGAACCGATGGAAGAAAATTGAAACTACTTGGCAAAAATGTTAACCATAATAAGAGGATGTGCAGTGCGCAGGTTTAATCTTCCTCAGGTCAAGGTCACAATTAGTCATTTTGCCGGCTCGCCACGGCGAGCCGGTATTACATTAGGATTTTACTGAGAAACAACCTAAAACTCCGAATCCATCCAAAAATTTAATCGAAGCTTGGCTTCCAGCTTTCTACAGAATTTATCTGTCAGGGCTGGAAACTCAAATTATTTAGCCAATCAAATTTAATCTTACATAGCGTCAAAAAACTTTCAATTTTCACGCCATTTTTAAAAAGCAGCAAGTATTGCTTTGAGCGCAAAGATATACTGATGATTAAAATGTTTGTTTTCATGAATTCTTTTCAATAAATTATATTTAAACTGACTTTTGATTTAGCGATTTCACCTGTTTTCTCTGTAGTAAGTTTTCGTTTGGTTAATTATGTTAAGTGTACATCTGATTCTGTGCATTTTTTTTTCTTTTTCTTTTTTTCCGGTCATTTTATTCTTTCCGATATTTAGGGTGGAGGGAAAATCCCGGGATTCGGGATAGTATTAGATATATAGGGAAAAGGAATAAACTATATTTGTATTGATTCTTGTCGTTGAATCTTTGTACAGGAGATGATCATTATACCAAGCCCTCTTACAATATAATTCCCTTTTATGCTCACTATGAGCAAGTTGTGCTCTGGTGAGCATAAACAGGAATTGGTATCCCGATTCATCTGTTGTCCCTAATGTGTAATTTAGTTTCTCTTAAAATGATATCTATGAAACCAAAGACTGCACATTAACAACTATTCAGGAGTCCTCTTTCATAGTTGTTCATATTGTTCTACACATAGGTCAAGGACACGTCTTATATTGAAACACATACGCACACCTTTATACTAAACCTTAAATATTTGGCATGTGGTATTGCCTTGTTGACCACTTTAAAATTTTGTTCATGTATCTACATCATATCCATTTGTTTAAAATGTTTCACATACCAAGATGAAGTGGACATAATTTTCATTAAAATGCTTAGGGAAAATATGTTTAAGTCTTATTGATATAAACTTCAATGCCTCCAGCTTTAATATTGAATAAGTACCAATGCCACTTGGTACTTGTACAAATCAAATGTTAATCATGCCCCATAAATCTAAATTCGCCCACACCCAAGAGAGTTCTTCAGTAATATATTCCTGTATAGGACTTGTGTCTGTCACTCATTCCAATACTAAATATCATTCGTATAAAGAGACATCTTTATGAATTTTACCTATCTAACATTTTTTTGGTCTAGGTCAACAGGCCATATAGTAAATGTGCATAGACATAGAGACTTCTTTCTATCTGTTTATATGCATCTTCATATACAAATGTATACTCATATTCCTCTTTGTTAAACTGAGAGAACTGGCTTTCATAACTTTATATGTCACTTTAATTTTGATGTTCGTTGAAGTCTCTTCAGCTAACAGAACTGTCATTTTTACATTTAAACACACTCCTGGAAAAAATTATACGAAGCGAGTCGCTACTAGCTTTTTTAAAAGCTAACCTTGTGTATAAATATATTAAAATTTTGTTTAAAATCAACATCAAGGTCACAGTGGCTCATATAAGTGTATATTTTACAAAGGGAGATTACAATGTATTCATTTATTAATATGCTTGCTTATTCCCAATATACGACGGATATGACTACATTTTCCAAAAAAATTGCAGAAGATAAAAACTTTCTAAATTTTTAAACATAAATAAAATCACAATAATTGATATGTATAGAGCATAATAATTGACATAAATTTGTTTTGTTTTAAGTGTATTATTAACAGTAGCAAGGTCTATAAACATGCATGCACTTATTTCTGCTTAAATTTATGATAACCAAAATTAATAATGCCTTTAAATACAGCAGTATTTCACCTAGACAATATTATTGACATAAATATGTTTTGTTTTATTTAAGTGCAACAATCAACAAGTATAAACAGTAGAAAGGTCTATAAACAAAGACTTATAAGTTAAGAATTTATTTTCTAATAGAATATTATTAGAATAGATTCTAATACCGATAGTATCAAAATGATACATAGGTTTAAACAATGGCAGAGTTCATAAAAATTTTTAATGTTTTTTCATATCGAGGAAAACATTGTTACGCTGGCATTCTATTTTAAATATAACTGAAAATTATAAAAAAAAATATCAAAAAAGTAGAGGCTCTGTCATTTAATTGTGTCATATAGATTAATATTTTTATCCAAGTATGGACTTCTGTTAACCTTACTATCCAAAATTTATAATAATGAATTCAATAAAAGTCAATAAAATATTCTGCAAAATGAAAAACTAAATTTGAATTAAATTAGTTGTTTCCTCCTTTTGGTGCCAACATATGGTGTCAGAGAAAATAAACATTACAATATTAGATCTATAAAGAGAGTTACATTTTTTGTGTCAACTTTGGATTGACATGCAACAGTACAATTCAGTAGACAGCTTCTTCTTATGCTATCTGGGGCGGACGAATAATGTTGTTCACTGTTTTTGGTGCCGCCCCTAATCAAAAAGATACATTAGAGGGCTGTCAGAGGGGGAATGTGCCCTCTTCTGCTAGGGGTCAAAAATTGAAAATTCAATTATTTTTAATGGTGGCCCATGGGGATTTCCAATGGAATGTAAATGTTTTTTTTCAATGACGTCCGTTATTTAAAATAATGGTGAATCAATAATTTTAAATGGTATTTTAAATATGTCTAATGAAATAAAATTAATTCAATGCTAAACAATAAACAATTAGTGGTTTTTAGAGAAATGACAAATATTATGCGCTACACAACAATTTATCCCAATGGTGATATCAAAAACTAGATGGGTGTTCAGGAAAACACTTGTTGTGCTCTCTTGTGCTTCCGTTTTCGTTGCTTTAAATTATGATAACAACTTCCGTTAAACACTTCAAAAACAAGGTGAGAAATCAGGACATTTGCAGCATCAAGAAACAACAACGCATGATTCAGATCATATTTTTATTCATAAGTTTATAGATCTATCATAAAAATCAAAATCTGGGCGAGCATGCATGCGCCTGGGCGAGCATAGGTCCAGTGAGTCTAGATCTACAACATGGAATTAACGCTGTTGTATTCTCATATTTCCAAGGCAATGACATTTAAACAGTTTTAAAAGCAAAACCAAAAGTAATCTTTATTTTTTATTACATCTATACATAGCCTTGTCTGAAAGTCGGGATTTTCTTTACATGGCATAATTTGAATATTGCGCGCACTATTAACCATTATACCACGTGAGCAAATTGTTGTGTTAATACGTCATCACTTATGTGCACAATTAAGGGGAGATCACTGCGTGAAGGGTCTGGAGTTCCTTCCCCTTTCGCAATGCAAACAATTGTTATTAGATGCCGGGAACCAGAATAGAAACTATACTAAAACATGTGACGTTTTACGCATTTCCGGTGAAATTTCCGTCAAAATTGACATGATTACATATTTATGACAAATATTTCTTCGATATGCAGCATTCACAGCCATCATCTTCACACGCAGGTGGTGGACCAATAAGACAGCCAAACAGACATGAAGATCTCGACTTTCCTTATTGTCCAGATTCCAACAAATATGAAAAACTTGCCAAAATTGGACAAGGCACATTTGGGTAATTAGACACTGGAAGATATCGCATTTAATTTGAAATAGAATAAATCATAATTAATAGACCATACAGTATCGAGATACTTGGAGCGTGATTCGTGAGTCAGACATTGATGTGTACATGTGTATAGAATTAAATAAGTAAAGTTAGGCTATTTATTGACGAATCAGTCAGCTCGGCCCTAAAACTTACGGGGGGGGGGGGGGGGGCTAGTCAGCTCGGCCTTATTCCAACTCGGCATGGGTCAACTCGGCCCATAATTATATAAAACTGGTTACTTTTTTTCCTTTTTATATGTTATCCATCTTTTTGATCATACTATTAAACCCATTCTTCTGTATGGTAGTGAGATTTGGGGTATACCAAATATTAGTAGTTCTATTGTTAAGAAAACAGATTATGTGTTGTTGAAATCCTTTGGAAATATGTCCTGTGATAAGATGCATGTGAAATTTTTAAAATATATTCTGGGTGAACTAGGACGGTATCCACTACATGTTGATGTAATATGTAGTTATGTTAAGTTTTACCAAAGACTGCTAAGTGGAAATGTTAGCAAATTACTATCTGCTGCCTTTATTGAAAGTCAAACATTATTTACGGATAAAAAAGTCTGCTGGGTTTCTGGTGTACAACATTGTTTTAAGCATTTAGGTATATCTGATGCTGGTTTAACCAATAAGAACTTAGTAAATGTTGTTAAACTCAAGTTAGTGAAAATGTACCAAACCAACTGGTGTTTGAATATCTCAGGTACTGAAGGGAAACTTAGAACATACTCTTTGTTTAAACAAAGGTTTTGTAGAGAAGTGTACTTTAGACATATTAAGAACAAAGATATAAGAACTTCCTTCACCAAGTTTAGAGTAAGTGCACACAGATTGAATATAGAAACAGGCAGATATAAAAAGATCCCAGTAAATCAAAGGTATTGTAACTGTTGCTCTTCCAATCTTGTAGAAGATGAAATTCATTTTTCCATGTGTTGTACAAAATTTGATAGTAATAGAGAACTACTATTTAGACAAATTGAAATATTAAATAAGAACTTTTATATGATGAATAATAAGCAGAAATTTGTTTGGTTAATGTCCTCAGAAGACCCTAAAATCTTGAATGTCTTTTCTAAATACCTACTCGAAATTTATAATAAAAGAAATCTTATGTTAGGTAGTACTATTAGTAATAAAAATTTGTCAGACCATTGAATGTATATTATTGTACTTGATTTATTTACTTCTTATTTTAACATTACTATGCCTGTGTTTTTTTTTGTTTTTTTTTTCCAATAATACGAATTAAGCTTTAGTTACTTTATTGTGTTCATTTCTACCATACAATACACAATTTGTTGGTTGATATATTTTGTTTCATGCCTTATTTTTTTTTCTATGCTTGTGATTATATATGTCATATAATATGACCCTTGATTGGTGAAATAAAATTATTCTTATATTCTTATTCTATGTTTTCATCATAACTTTCATTGTTTAATATTTTCACAGTAACAGACCTCTACTCAAGGATATTGAAAAGTTTTATTGATGAAAGTAACAATTTGTAGAGAAAGGAAGACATAACAATTTATATGCATGTTTTGCCTACTTCAGATGGTTTTTTTGTTTTGTAAAAAAATATCGTTAAAACAGCAGTTGTTTTAACGATATTTTTTTATTCATGTACACTGCCAACTTTTTCAATTTCTGTTTGTAAAATCTGAATAATTTAATAGTAATTTACTCCTTAAAATTTTTTATTTACTAAACAGTGTTAATAATCTATATCCTAATATAGGTTTTTATGGAGGGCCGAGTTGACCTGTGCCGAGTTGGTATAGGGCCGAGTTGACCCTTTACCTTTTATATTGACCTTTTCGAAAATCTAGCTAAACACCGTTTTCCGGTATGTTACGGATTTAGCTCTGGTGAATTACACCAAATGAAGTACATAACACAGTTACATGATATTTATATTTTCTACCATTATTTACCATTTAAGGTGAAAAATTTTTGATGTGTTTGAAAATTATCAATATTCCTTTAATATCTATTGCAGATTTTTCAAAAAATAAATTGTTTATAATGAAAATCAATAAATTAAAACAGTCGTAGTTGAATCTCCCATAATAAATAAGGTTACTTTCTGCATAAATTTGTGTATTTATTTTATTTTTTTGTATGGAATTACTCATACAATGATATTTAATTATTTCATTACAAAGAAATAACAGTTTTATTTCACTTTAATTCAAAAATGGTCAAAAACATAGAGTTTGTTATTACGCCTCATTAGGTGAATTCCCCAGAGCTATGTACAGAAAGTACCGGAAAACACATCCGACTCACGGAGTTCTAGTGTTTTCAAAATATTTCTAGCAGTTTTCTGGCTCTTTATCATTTTCGTCCAGTATAGTCTATTTTTTTACCAGTTTAGCAATTATTGTTATTTCATCAAATCAGAGAGACATTTTTTTTCTATGCAACACAGCAGTTAAAATAGTACATCGATTTATATGTTTTGAAGTTTTGCCTGTTGTTTAAAGTTACCTTAGAGAACTTGCAGCATTTAGAAATATGCAATGCCCGGGGAATTCTAGTTTGAATGCCCATGCAAAATGACTGAGACCTCATTCCAGGCAAATCAATACTTTAAGTTTTGAACATTATAATTTGCAGACAACACTGAAAAGGTTGAGAAGTTCTATTTCTTATTTTTAACTTGTATGTTTCAGAGAGGTGTTCAAAGCTAGAGACAGGAAAAATAAGCAGGTTGTGGCCATGAAAAAAGTGTTGATGGAAAACGAAAAAGAAGGGGTATTTGTTTTTTTATTATTATTATTTTGAAGGCAGCCTGAAAATCTTATCTCTTTTTAGCTCATCTAAGCATAAATTGATACATGTGGCATATAGCCACTGTGCAAAGTTTGACATAATGCACAGTTTCTTCAAACAACATCTCCTCTATTATCATTAGGAAGGTATATTGGTGACCTATGAAGTCTGATTTATATGTAGGTCACAGGAGCCAAAAATAGCCTTAAAAACAAACTACTGTGTGTACAGATAAAACATTTTGCATGTACACTGTAGCATTATCATGTGTTCCTCTAGTGGACAAAAATTTATATATGGAAAGATATTTAAATATTCTCCTGTGAATGTACATGACCTATAGCATAGGCATGTAGCATTGCCTAGTGGTCCTGTACTAGGATTAAAATGAATCATTCCCTTTGTGTTAAAAAATGGCCCGGCCACAGGGTTATATCTCTTAAATGATGTAGCTATTGTGCTTGACTGCTTAATTTTGGTGCCTTTGTGTCATTATATAAATTATATAAATATACACAATTTTCACTTTCTTTCACTATCTGAGATTCATAAATTTAGTCACATTCAATGTTCAATCAACCATGTGATTTGTATCACATTGGGGATATCAATTCAACAGATTTTCCTGAAAAGAATGAAATCCAAGGCAAGGGTGTAATTTTTCTGATTTTATTGCATTTGTATTCTGTACCAAGAATTGAAGTGATCAGAAAGTTGTATTGTCCTGCTCTGATTACATAGACAAAGCTTATTGTGTGTTAGATTTGTAAAGTTGCCAAATGTTGAAAGATCACAGGACATTCCTAGTTCTCATTATCTGATTGGTACCAATTACTTGATTACCGGTACATTGTTTCAAGTTTAGTTAAACTAACAGCTGTTTGTAGTTTTGTGTAGTCAATTTAAACCTTAAAGCTACATGCTTCCAGATGAGTCAAAATATTTCAATATAGTCAAACTTGAGAAAAATGTACTAAGATTTTAGGAAAAGTAAAAATATTCAAGATTCAAGTAGTAATTAACATGTTATATGTGATAAATGACTGATTTTTCAGTATTTATGACTATATTTCTATTGTGTTACTAACACAGTAAGGGCTATTTTTTGCATATTTTGACCTCCTTTTGATAATTTATGTGGGTTGCAAGTGCCACTGATAATGTGTAAATTGTTTCAATTTAGTTACTTCACCATATTATACTTTTAAATACATTTTCAAAATTTTAGGAAACATCACCAAATTTTTGTAGCTTATCTGATCACCTTAAATTCTGTTGATTATTATAGCTGTCATGTAAGTTTGGTTAGCCTCAATTTGTATTAACAAATTCCTTAATAAATTTCTTTTATATGTTTACAATTTCAGTTTCCTATCACAGCATTGAGAGAGATAAAGATACTGCAGCTGTTGAAAAATGAAAATGTTGTTAATTTAATTGAAATCTGCAGAACAAAAGGTAAAAATATAGTGATCAAAATTGATAATTTAAGTAATACAAACAAATATATTGTTAATTGATAGTAATAGCAGTGTTATGTGGTATCTTGTACATTGATAACAAGCTATGATGAAGAAAAGTCCCAATCAGAAATGAGGTCATTACCATTTATTTGCGGATTTTTTAATTTTCTCAATCTCATCTTTTTGTGCTGCCCATTAGCAGTTCTATTGTATTTGTGATTCTTTACATAGAGGGAATTTAAGTTTTTTTAGCTCGACTTTTCGATAAGAATAAGTAGAGCTATTGTAGTCACCCGAGCGTCGACGTCAGTGTCGGCACCACTTATGTTAAAGTTTTTGTAATACCTCAAATATTTTCAAAGTCCATTGACATTATGGCTTTGAAACTTTGCACACTTGTTCACCATCATGACCCCAACCTGTAGACAGGAGGAGGTAACTGTATCAAGCATTTGGCAGAATAATGCCCCATTTTCAACTTAGAATTTACATTTAAGTTTGCATACCACTTCAGATATTTTCATATTCTATTGACATCTGGCTATCAAACAAGTTGAAATTTTATACTCTTCTTTGAGAGCATAATAGGACTCTCTTCAAGGCCTATAACTGTAACATGGATTTAAAGAAAAATTTGCCCTTTTGTTAACTTAGAAAATTTTACATTATCAAGGCTTTTTTTACTATCAAGCACTAAGAATAGCCGAGCATTGCTGTCCTACCAACAGCTCTTGTTTCTGTCAAAATCAACCATTTAGGAGAGAATTATTATTTTTAGATTTTGGCTCTTAGAACCAGTAACTTAGACCTTTCACAAGAGCTGTCATTGATAGAAACAATAAAGATGTATCGTTCATGTTTTTCTGTCATTCATATTTTTATGTCGATCAATAATCAATTCACATTTCAAAAAAATGACAAGTTTGACTTCAATAAAATGTCTAGAAATTATGAGAAATTCACCCAAAACATACACAGAAGCAGGTGTCCATGTCTAACATTATGCTGTTGTTATATAGTGGAAATATTTCACAGCAAATCGAGCAATCATGACAAAAATAGAAAATAGAATGGAACAAAAGTAATGCAATGGGCTTTTATAAAAAAAGACGCTGAACAGAACATGTTTTTAACTGAAATAATTCAAAAAGGTATGAAAGTGAATGACAAACAAGTAATTATAGGAAATTATTGACAACCTGTGTATGGTTGATATTTGTTATCCGGTGATATGCTTTGCAATGAATCAATGACAGCTCTACCTTGCACAAGAATTTAGTACTAGAGTGCATTAATATTCTACTCTCACAAGACCAAGATTATAATATAAGTTAACACATTTCCTGTAGTAATGTGCACTTACATGTATAATATATAAACAAATAATGATACAAATTAAATTTGTTTGTCTTTCTAAATATATTATTAGTTATATAGATTTTTGACAGGTTATATGGCCCTATATGGTTGTTTGTAAATATAATCCAAGCCACCAGACGAGGTTATATTGCAAACAACTGTTTATATTCGGCCATATAACCTGTCAGGAATATTTATAACGAATTTATAATACTGCAAACTTCCTTTTAAAAGAAAAAAATGAGATTTCTTTATAAATTGACAGCGGCTGTGTATATAAAACTAAATAAACATCACGATTATCTAATGAAAAGTGACATTACAAACATGCAGTTTTATAATCACTAAAACATAGAATAGCTTTGATTTGATCAAATTTAACATTTAATATATTATTTAAGTTACAAATCAGTAATAAGGTAGTAAACAAAACAAATCCATTCATATTTTTCAGAGTTTTCACATTTTACCATGTGCTCAAACTCTGCTATCATTTATGATAATGAATCTAAAAGTGGGTCACATGCACCTATCATCATAATTATGTCATCATATTATGGCAAATACACAATCATGGCAATTTATTATGAATTTTGCATAAAATATCTTTCCGTTTATGCTGAAACTGAATATACTGTTTACAAAATTGAAAATACTTTTTCTAATGTTTCATTTTTGGCCGGGTTGCACAGGTGCAAACCCGGGTTATAAAATGGTGAATGTCGGGCGGCGGGGGATGGGCGGGCAGGCGATGAAAATATTTTCGTAACAGTTTTCTCAGCAACTACTTAACACAGCAGCTCGATATTTGGTATACAGTATCAACACGTGGTTCCATACAGTAACTGTTTTCTCAGCAACTTCTTATTGCAGCCTCTTGATATTTGGCATACAGCATCCATACCGTAGGATTCAATTTCATGTCCGTTGCTCATCCTATTCCTGTTTACCGACTTACTTAAATTTTCTACATTAATGGTGAATGGTAGGAAATTTTCGTAATAGTTTTCTCAGCAACTGCTTATCGCAGCCTCTTGATATTTGGCATAAAGCATTTACATGTGGTCCCATACCGTGGGATTCGATTTTATGTCTGTCGCCCATCCACTTCCTGTTTACCGACTTAGTTAAATTTTTCACATAAATGGTCAATGATAAAAAATTTTCGTAACAGGTTTCTCAGCAACTACATATCACAGCCTCTTGATATTTGGCTCACAGCATTAACTAGTGGGACCATACCATGGGATTTGATTTCATGTCTGTCGCTCATCCTATTCCTGTTTTTCGACTTTGTTAAATTTTCTACATTAATGGTGAATGGTAGGAAATTTTCCTAACAGTTTTCTCAGCAACTGCTTATCGCAGCCTCTTGATATTTGGCATAAAGCATTTACATGTGGTCCCATATTGTGGGATTCGATTTCAGGTTGGTCTGTCGCTCATCCACTTCCTGTTTACTGACTAGTTAAATTTTCTACATTAATGGTCAATGGTAAACATTTTTTTTAACATCACAGCATATACAAATGCAACCTGGCCTTTTCTGTCTTTGACCCTTTTTTTTTCCTGGATGGCCTTTCACTGTAATCACATGTACCATTAATATTTTCTTGTTTAATTTCAGCCACACCTTATAACCGTTACAAGAGTACATTCTACCTGATATTTGAGTTCTGTGAGCATGACCTGGCGGGCCTCCTAAGTAATGCCAATGTGAAGTTTAATCTAGGAGAGATTAAAAAAGTCATGCAGCAACTTCTAAATGGTTTATATTATATACATACCAACAAAATTCTCCACAGAGATATGAAAGCTGCCAATATTCTAATCACAAAACAAGGTGTTCTTAAGATGGCCGACTTCGGACTAGCAAGGGCTCTGAGCCATATAACAAAATATACTAACAGGGTAGTGACTTTGTGGTATCGACCGCCAGAATTGTTACTTGGAGAGAGGAATTATGGTCCACCAATAGATATATGGGGTGCTGGATGTATACTGGCAGAGATGTGGACAAGGTCGCCTATAATGCAAGGAAAGACGGAGCAACATCAGTTACAACTTATCAGTCAGCTTTGCGGCTCTATCAAGCCAGAGGTGTGGCCAGGGTGTGATAAACTTGAACTGTATTCTAAATTAGAAATACCTGATGGTCATAAAAGGAAGGTAAAAGAAAGGTTGAAGCCATATGTAAAGGATCAGTATGCATTAGATCTGCTGGACAGACTATTATGTCTGGACCCTGCCAGGCGTATAGACTCAGACACTGCCCTCAATCATGATTTCTTTTGGGAGGAACCCCCACCACAAGATCTCAGTAGAATGTTGTCACAGCATTCAACATCAATGTTTGAGTACCTAGCTCCACCAAGAAAGCTTCAATATAGACCAGCTGTCCCGCAACAGCCAAGACCAGCACCCAACATGGATCAACACTTTGAGAGAGTTTTCTAAGTTGAGTGACTTTTAGAACTAACATAATATAAATATACATGATCGAAGAATTGGAAGTAAGATATTGAAATTGTGTCTGTTCATCCTAACACCAGTCTTGGAAATTGGTTGGTTCAGTTTTAATGAAACAATGCATGAATGTGTACATTGTAATTTGTATTGGAGAAGGGAAATGTGACCCACCAAATTCAATCAAAATACCTATGAGTTTTTTAGTTACATTAAAATGTGTTTTGTTTTCTTTTTTTTTCTTTCTTTTTTCAGGGGGAGGGGGGTTATCCCATTTTCAACTCATATTTCATTTGGTTGGTTTGATTGTAAGTTTGTAATAAAAGTCTTTGAATATGATAATTAAGGAAATAATAATTAAGGAAATTATACTGATATTCAGGGACGGTCATCTTATTATTGGAAAATTATCCTATTACAATACTTATGTGATAGATTTTAAAGCAGTACACCTCCAGATTCATGTTAATATTCATGAAAATTTTTGAAATGTATTTAAAAGTAAAATATTGTGAGGTGAACGAATAAAGTAATTTACATATTGCAGTCGGCACTTACAATCCAAGAAAACTACCAAAAAGTCGTCAACATATGCAAAAAAAAGCCCTTATTGCGTTAGTAAGGCAGATAAAATACTGCAAAAGCAGTCTTAAACTGCACATAACATGAAGAATTGAACTTGGATCTTGAATGTTTTTACCTTTCTAAAAATTTTAGTACATTTTTTTCAATATTGATTTTCTTGAAATAATTTGGCTCATCTAGAGGCGTGCAGCTTTTATAGATCTTGACATGAATGAGTATTGTAATAAGAAAATGATTGAAACAACATTTAGTCCAAGTGTATTAGTATTTTATTATGTTATGGCATTTTATAAATTAGAAATAGTCATTATTTCAACAAATATTTGCATTCTTCATCCAATTGAATCGTATAATTGTAGTTCTAAAAACATTAGTAACATTATAAATATCTAGCTGCCATAGCACAATGTTATAATGATACCTTATTGTTAGGATGTCATTTACTATGATAGCTTTTTTGCTTTACATTGTCTAATTTTATGGACTTTGTCTCATTTTAACTTCATATATCACATTATATTAAGAAGCTTCAAGCAACTGATTTGTAACATGTGGCGAGGGATATCAATTTTACAAATAAGCTTGTTTCTGTATTAATGTTGTAAAAGATAAAACCATTTCTCTGACATTTTAATGTTTTTATGTTTTATTTTAGTTGTATACATTTATGGTATATATATAAGTATATATATGAAGAGCTGCCGAGTTTTGCAGGATTAAATATAATGTTTAACTTCTACAGCCAGAGAAGCTGAGTATATTACATTATAGTTTGTTTCAGCATTTACCCATTATTCACTGTGTCAACTTTTGCTTTAATCAATATAAATCACCTTTAAACAATCTTGTATGTAATTTTAATGTCTTGTGAATTATTTGGAAATAAAAGCAACATAATTGGTCTCGTTTTTTTTGTTTCATTTATCTTATTTATAATTAATAAATGCTTGAAATTTATATTACATGGCAATATTCGACATACAGTTTAAATAATGTTCCTTGTTTAGGGGATTCAGATTAGCCAATTTCAGTTCAAAGCTGTCAACTTTAATTGTGCCATTTTTAATCGAAATGGGATATGTAGATGGTTACAGAAAATCGGCTTCTACCATTTGAGCGAGCACACAGTGTGTAAAAAGGATTTTTTTTAATGCGTTTATTTAAGGTCGCCGCCGGAAAGCCCATATGGGCGACTGTAAAGATCGGAACTCGTACTGCGGACCAGCTGCCGATGTCCTGACTTAAGCCGAGGGGAGTGGCCCTACAAAGTTGGCTTCGGGCCGACGAGGATGGTGTGCTAGGGTGCGTGCGCCCTTAGCACGGTTAGACGGCTTGAACAGCAGGCCTTTTGCTGGCACCAACAGCGCTTTTCAGGGCTATCCTTTCATATTGTCTCAGGTTATTGTACATATAGGTTCTCATTGACCACCATACAGTGACCTACTTTTGGCTAAAAATTCATATCTTTGGCTAATACTCAGTGGAAATTGCATGGAGGTAAATTATCACCACTTAGTGCTTTAAAATTAACTCGACTGCGAAATCTGCATTTTGCGCCCTTACGGGCGGATGGACCCTAATTAAGCATACACTACAATACTTACAGCATTATTCTTAAGAAATAATCTGTTCATAGGTTTGGAAAGACACAAGCCGCTAGTCGGGGTTATATTGCAAACAACCGTTTTTATATGACCATATAACTTGTCAAGAATCGTTTTAATGATTTTATAATACAGTAAACTTCCTTCATTTGAAAAAAAGAGAAATTACTTCATAAAATGGAGGTATTTTATATAAACATCACTATTATCCACAAAAAACGCATATAACTGCATTCTTCCAAACTCGCTTAAAGTAAAAAATAATTTAGTGTCAACATACTGGCTGTGCTCCCGCTCCATTTTTAAACACTGTTTAAACCTCGAATTTCGGCAGCATACAATAACATACATCAAATGATTTACAAACTAATTCAAAATGCTTTGAATTCATTGCCTTAGTAGCCATAAGCTTGTACTATAGTGTTCTGGACAATAATTATTTGGGTGTTAAAATGTACCAAGATATTTATCTTGGACTTCTTTTTGTCCACGTTAAGGCCCAGCTCGACGGAACATAATTTACTTTAGCATGTCAGGGTCCAGACATCATTGACAATGATTCTGTTCCTTCTACTTCTGACAAATTTATAGTCGACCATCTATCACACTGACCATACGTGGTCCGGTTTGTGTCGCATGAAACTGTAAGAGACATAAAACTTTCTAAGAAAAGTTGTCAGGATGTGACTTTAAGCACTTGAGAATTATGCCACAAATTTATTTAAAGATCAGCTGAGTTATGGTCTCTGAATAAAAGAGTGGAACTCCAAAAGCCTAACTACTAAAGCAATGAAACTCTCTAACATAATTTGTCGTCGCAACGGTGTAATTTGTCCCAAATTCATTAGAGATTAGCGGAGTTAGCGGAGTTATGGCCCTTGTTTAGCAAAAAAAGAGCATATTTGGACTTTGGTCATTCCAACAGCTATGTTTATACGAACCAGTAATTCTACAGGAATTGTGACAATACTAAGGAATGGGCAACAGTATCCAATGAACACATTTCTAGTTGTTATAGTTTTGGTGAACAACATGAGTCGCAAGATATATAAAGACATATTTTATTGTATGTCATTTTCTATATCATTCCATATCAATAAAACTATAAAATTCACGGGATTCAAATTATGCTAAATACCAATTGATATCATTAATGTTGACATCAGTTTAGTCCTCACTCATAATAATATTCGTGCTTTATTATTATTATTATTATTATTATTACATGTATTATTATTATTATTATTATTAATAATAATTATTATTATTATTATTACTATTATTATTATTATTTATTATTATTATTATTATTATTATTATTATTATTATTTTGCGTGGAGAAGAGAAAACTTAAACGAAGGAAACATTTTTTCAAATATAACAGTTGGCGGTGCCTAAGGCGGAACCACGGGTTTAACGGTTTTGAATGTGTATAATTATAGAAAGGTTATATATCCAGTGAAGCGAGTCGCCACCACCCTTCTTCTATTTTATTTTTAATTTCACCAACGTGACAATTTAACTGGAGCTAGGCCCGTGTCGGTATCATTTAGACGTCGGTTTAAAAGTCATTCTTTTAAAGAAGGAAGAAAAAAACGAGGATATAATTACGCATGTTCAAGGTATGTAGGTATACTGTTTACACGAAGATTTTGTATAAGTCATACCTTTGTATTATATTTTCAATAGTATTTATATCTGTCTATATACGGATTAGCATTTGTTTAGGTAAACATAATCCCTTTCAAAAATCACTAACATTCTGTATACTCTCTTTAAACGACCAAGGACAAACTTAAATCTTGAATTAAGATTGTTTATCATATATTTTACTGTCTAGTATGTAATATATCGAATTTTAAAACACGAAATACATGTTGATAGTAAGTCAGATAGTTACGCATAACTTGCATACTTTTTATTCAAGCGAGCAAAACGACTTCGTTACACTATTTTCGTGCACACTATAAACAGATAATAAATACCGTGTTCCTTGTTAAAATGTATGTTTTCGTTTAAATATACAAGTACAAATGTATACGTTCGATGTTGACAAATTTATTTACTTCAAAATTATGCGAATTATTTTTATTAAAAAGCTTCATCAATGCATCCTATTATTCAGATAGTTACACAAAACTCGCCTGAATAAAAATATTTAAGTTATTAGGAAAAAAGACAACAAAAAACACACACACAAAACATGTAATTAAATCCTTCTCCTTTATAGTAAGATAATCAGTTCTAGGATTTCATGATAAATTTATAGACAGTCTAGCAATTTAAAGATTTTTCAATCCATAAAATTTACAGATATTCAATATGAAATTTGATGTTATTTTAATCATATACTAAAATCCGCAGCTTAAGACAAGTTGTTTTATTGATTGTTTCAATTATCAAAGGAAATGAGGTAAGTTTCATCTTTGTATGATGACTTTGAAATTTTTGTTGGTTTAGGCATATTTATTTTAGCTCGATTGCGAAACAAGTTCTTGCAACTTATATTAATCACTTTCGAGTCCAACCGGTACTGGTGGCATAAGAAGAAACATGGTCGTGACCCGATTAGGGCTCGAACCCATGATCCCTGGGTTGAGAGGCAGGCACCTTAACCACTAGGCCACCAAAGTTTTGTTAAAAGTAAAAATTGAAAGTCATCAAATTGTTCTTAATCTTACCCTACTTCTACATTTAATCATATAATCAGTAACCTTATTCTTTTTAACCTGCGGTTTTGAATTTTAATACAACTTCAACTATTGTTGTGCTTTATGTCTGTAAATTTACAGATAAAAAATCTATAAAAATACAGATGGTAATTTACAGACTCCTGACTGTCGGTAAATATCATGAAATCCTAGACCTGATTATACTTGTTCATTAAAATCTGTAACAGTTCCTTTACCAGTTAAATTATTATGTAAAATTCAGTGGGAGGTTTCATTTTTCTGTAAAACATTTCGACATTTTAGTAATAAAAAAAAGTGACATGTACATATTAACATAATACTATGATAGTT